CAGCAGGAAATTTCAATGCCTGTCATCCTAGTGTTTGCCAAGTGCTCAACTGTGGCTTAAATGCTTAATTTGCTCAATTGATTCCAAATATATATGTGTGTGTATATATATGTACAGCTACTATATAAAAATTGGAACATGTTGAACCTTCTACTTGGTGAACATTATTAGATAGTGAACTGCTATATATGTTCAAACAATTGGAGAGCCTTGCAGAGATTCTCCTAACTTTATTCAAAAGACCCAGGTTTTGCCTTTTTTCCTGTATATATATTTGCTCCTGTCTCAACATGAACCCGCCCTATATTAAAATCCTGCATTTCCAATTGATTATTTTGGTTTCTTCCATGTGCAATACACAAATTGCATTCAGATATCAAGCAGTTATGTAAAATATAAAAAACAAAAGAAATTAAAAAAACCATCAGTTACATTCCTGAATGTTTCCTTTAACCTCTAACGTTTACTTAGTTTGGCTTTAAAGCTAATTGTCCACAGCTGTTAATTTTATATTGATTTGTGCTGCTTTCCTGTAAAGTGTATGATGCGACTAGTTTTAATAAGTTCAAGGTAATATTACCATTAGAACTCCTCAGCAATTTCCCCTGTACCCCATGCAAAATCATCATTCACATGTTGACCATTAGTCTCTAACTCCCTGTTGGTCTGGTGAAAATAACAGAGTCTCTCCCTCCTGCCATCTTTTTCTTCTTTTGCCACTCCACCTTAGGCACCTACAATTGACATCCGGCCTCGATCAGCTACTATTCAAATGAACAATGCTACACACCTCCAAGAAAGGGATGAAGAATATGGGTATGAGTGTCTTGATGGCAAGGACTGTGCCAGTTTTTTTTGCTGCTTTGAGGATTGTCGAACGGGAGCATGGAGGCATGGAAGAATACATATCCGTATTGCCAAAATGGACTCCTATGCCCGAATCTTCTTCCCAACTGCCTTCTGTTTGTTTAACCTGGTGTATTGGGTATCATATCTTTACCTTTAAAAGCAGAAGGAAATCAGTGATATGAGCCTTAGTCACTGAACTTCTTAGAGAGATGGTTTCCTATGTCCACTTGAAGTATTTACGATGTGCTTTATAGTGGTCTGAATTCTTTAGTGCCATAACCCAGTAAATATCAATCATATCATTTGTCCAAAAATTGCCATCAGGTTATTGTGAATTACATCTCCATTCAACATGCTGAAATAATTTGAAATAAAAATCATATAAACAGGTACTACACAGCTATACCTGCTGGAATAGAGAGAAACAGAGCAGACAGGGCAAGGGGACCACAGCAACATCACTTAATCGTTGGTACTTGCTATTTCAAACAGGAGTGAGAGAGCGGAAGATTCCCAGGTAAAGTGCTGTACAGTTTGTTAACATTGGCTATAATTATGCTATAGCTTTATTCTCTGTGGGCTTTTCTTTTTGGAAGAGTCATCTCTCACTTTGAATAGGTATTATTAAGCTAGGAAAGTAACTTCTACTCCCACCAAGATAAAAATAGACCTCTCCCTTTGCCATCCCTTTAAGAGCACATGTACAATGCTGTAAATATTTCAATACCTTGTAGTACATAAAGTCTAGTGCATGCATCTTTGGGGGGCCAAAATAAATGAAACAAAGGTACCATAAAGTTTTGTCTTTTATTTTGTGTCTCTGGATGTGCTATTGTAATTGAAATGTGGACATTTTTTTTCCTTGAAAAATTACCCCTTTCCCTCATGCATGGAAGATCCAAGCAGACAGCACTTTCATGTAAGACATTAGAGAAGCCTTAAGGAGTCAAATAAATAACTTGTAGACAAATCTGTATGGCCAATATAATAGCTCATAAAGTATACTGTATGTGTCTGCTGCAGTTGTAGCCTTCATTTTCCATTGATAATGTTGCTATATTTCAACTGAATTTCCAGTAATTATACATTGCAAGATCAGCTTCTGAATTTAATCCATGTGCTTCTATTGTTCTTTTCCCATGTTGAGCTCTACTGTTTTCCTTACACACGTGTTTGTGGAGTTTTGGGGTTTTTTTATTCTTTAATCCAGACCAGGAAATAGCTTTTATTCTAGACATTATTTTTACATAAGAGCTTCAAGTCCATTTTGAAACATTAGATTTTGTATTCTATATTCACATACAATTCACTGCTCATTCATGTCCTTGATCAGCAATAGCTGTTGTCAGTGCTGCTTTTCACTTGGTGAGTACCTTTACTAAAACAAACCTTTACCATGGCTAGCACACAGTTTATAGATAGCCTTGAAAATACAAGGGAACAAAGGGTGTCTTGGCTACTAAATCACATGTATGCAGTTTATGTGTATTTTAAACCTTCAACCCACCTGGGTGAATCTTGAAAACCATTTATCCACTGGTTTTCAGAACCTGTACGATACTCAATTATGCAACCTTAAGCACATGTAAATATGACTGACCTTTTTTTTAATTGTCAAAGATGTAAAATGTCACCTCCAGGAAAGTCAGCTTGCAGAATGAAAAAGGGAGATATATAACTTATCATTACAGAATTATTAATAGCTAAAATGGAGGAAAAGGAAAGTTTTCCAATGTTTGTATAGTTTTGGAAATAAAAATGTATAAAAAAAGGAATAACTCTTGATCATCAATTGCTCCTTGTCCAATGTATTTGAAAACATTTTAATAAAGGAATTGCACACACCTGTGGAATTTTTCAATAAAACTGCTGCACTCAATTCCAGATTTCTTGTGATTAGTTTGTTAAAAGTATGCTTCGAGGACTAGTCTGCTTGATTAGTTTGATTCATCAGCTGCCTAAATATAAATTACTATAATCCTCATAACTCTCTGCATTGTCTCATTTTGTAGTTAGATGGCTCACCCACATAACTTTCAAGTATGAAGAATAAATCTGTAAAACCATTGAAGATGGTTTTGAAGATTATCTTATTCTTTAAAAAAAAAAAAAAATAGAATCTCTGAATTGGAAGTGTCCTAATGAAGAGAGAAACTTTTTTTAATCTACTTAGAGAGTGTCTCCACTCTGTGAATGAGTGTCAATCATCTTTCACATAGAAATGTGTTTCAGCTGGTGCCAGACAGATCACTAATTTATTCCCTCCCCCCTCTGCCCCACAGTGGTTAGTGATTTAACATCTTTCTGTTAGTTCCTTGCAGTTAATAAGAGTGGCTGATGCTATACATTTCAGGTTTCAATTTTTACTTGGATCTTTTCCCTGCTACCAAATAGGTTTTATATAGATCATTATGAAAGTCAGCCCAAACCAGCCCTTTAATTCCAAGCACCTTTCAGTTAACGTATTTAGAATTTTTGTCAAGCTCAGTGAAATTAAGGATTCAATGACACTGTACTCTAGTTCAGCCATCAGACTACACATGCCTACACCAAGCCTGTGATGCTGAAGAACTGGATGCAATAATCAGGAACAAACTATCAGATCCCTCACTCATGCAAGTTGGCTTTCTCCTTCCAGCAAGAGAGGAGTTTAGTTAAAGATTTATAGACCCCAATCTCAATAATGCAAACCATACAAAATGAAGCAGCATGCCACCCCTGCAGTTAAGGGGTTGAGTGAACTTTTCTCACCGTATATCACTGTACAAAACAAAGTAAAGGAAATAAGCCCTTAATCGGTCATTACTCAACACCTCAGCCCCTGCCACACTCAGTTAGGTGATTTGTCATTTCCTCCTGGGGAAATGGATGAGATTGAAAAGGACAGTTCATGGAGAAACACGTTATTCCCAGTGAGAAAATGACACCAAAGCACAATCTAGTGCTAACTAAACAAAAAGTATAGTGTTCCTCTGAATAGAGATTATATTATCTATTTAGCACAGAATCAAAAGATGACCTTTGTATTGTAAAGCCAGACAGCCACCACAGCAAACAAAATAGCAAGCGAAATAGCATTTGGGTATGATGAGGGTTGTTATTCAGAAGAAAACTGCTCAGAAACCTATCTATATAGACATATTCACATATACCTATTACATAAAATATTATATTAATATATACTTTATATATATT